CCCCCTCCTTCTCCTCATCGTCGCAATTGTAGCAGTAGTAGTAGTAGTAGTAGTAGTAGTAGTAGTAGTAGTAGTAGTAGTAGTAGTAATAGTAGTAGAAGTCGTAGTAGTAGTAGTAGTAGTAGTAGTAGTAGTAGTAGTAGTAGTAGTAGTAGTAGTAGTAGCAGTAGTAGTAGTAGTAGTAGTCGTAGTCGTAGTAGTAGTAGTAGTAGTAGTAGTAGTAGTAGTGGTAGTAGTAGTAGTAGTACTACTAGTAGTAGTAGTAGTAGTAGTAGTAGTAGTAGTAGTAGTAGTTAGTAGTAGTAGTAGTAGTAGTAGTAGTAGTAGTAGTAGTAGTAGTAGTAGTAGTAGTAGTAGTAGTAGTAGTAGTAGTAGTGTAGTAGTGTAGTAGCAGTAGTAATAGTAGTAGTATAGTAGTAGCAGTAGTAGTAGTAGTAGTAGTAGTAGTAGTAGTAGTAGTAGTAGTAGTAGTAGTAGTAGTAGTAGCAGTAGTAGTAGTAGTAGTAGTAGTAGTAGTAGTAGTAGTAGTAGTAGTAGTAGTAGTAGTAGTAGTAGTAGTAGTAATAGTAGTACTAGTGGTGGTGGTGGTAGTAGTAGTAGTAGTAGTAGTGGTAGTGGTAGTAGTAGTCGTAGTCGTAGTAGTAGTAGTAGTAATAGTAGTAGTAGTAGTAGTAGTAGTAGTAGTCGTAGTCGTAGTCGTAGTCCTAGTAGTAGTAGTAATAGTAGTAGTAGTAGTAGTAGTAGTAGTAGTAGTAGTAGTAGCAGTCGTAACAGTAGTAGTAGCAGTAGCAGTAGTAGTAGTAGTAGTAGTAGTGACAGTACAGCTTAATACCTACATCTACATCTAGACCTACATCCACATCTACACCTACATCACCATCTACATGTACACATGCATTTACAGCTACATCGACATGTACAACTACACTCATATTTACATATACATCTAAACCTCCATCTACACCTACATGTACATACACCTCTACATCTACAGCTGCACATATGATATGTTATGCTATGCTGTGCTATGCGATGATATGTTATGCTATGATACGCGATGCTGCGCTGTGCTATGTTAAGCTAAGCGATGCTATGCTATGCTGTGCTATGCTATGCTATGAGATGCTGCGCTATGCGATGCTGCGCCATGCTATGATATGATATGCTTTGTTATGCGATGATACGCTATGCCATGTCATGATAATGCTGCGCTAAGCTAAGCTAAGCTAAGCTAGGCTAGGCTAGGCTAAACTAAGCTAAGCTAAGCTAGGCTAGGCTAAGCTAAGCGAAGCTAAGCTAAGTTAAGCTAGGTTACGCTAAGATGAGATAAGCAACGCGAAGCTAAGGGAACGTCACTGGGGGAACCGCGGGGCGGATGCCGGGGGAACCGCCTGGGGCGTGCCCCGATGCCCAGCCCTTTAAGCACACAGAGTAAGAACCTTTCTAGGCAGAGCCTAGGTAGGGAACTAAGCTAAGCTAAGCTAAGCCAAGCTAGCCCTCTAAGCAGAGCCTAGGTAGGGAATTACACTCATGCTATGATATGCGATGCTTCGCTATGCTATGCTGCGCTACGCTATGCTATGCTGTGCTCTTCTATACTGTATTCTGCTAAAGCTCAGCGAAGCTAAGATGCAGGTGAGCTCAGCTAATATAAGACTGAGGTAGGATGAAGCTAAGCTAAGGTAGCATGAAATAAGCTAAGCTAATAAGAGATAAGCAACGCGAAGCTAAAGGAACGTCACTGGGGGAACCGCGGGGCGGATACTGGGGAACCCGCCGGGGCGTGCCCCACTCCCCGGCCCTTTAAGCTACGAGGTAAGAACCCTTCTAGGCAGAGCCTAGGTAAGGAAAAATGCATTAAATCGCCCAAGAGGCTCCCAACAGGCCTCATCTTCCCTTCTCCTTTTTCCTCACTCTCCTCTCCTTCCTCCTCCCCCACCGTGTTCCCCAAACGGTTTCCAAACCGATTCGGGGAACACATGGTCCGATAGCTTGGCAGGCCTCTGGCCACAACTTTCGGCCACAGAGGCGTTTCCAAAGAGGCAAAGGGGCGGCGCTGATTCGCAGTAGGCGGCCTCGATATATCTCTATATATACATATACATACATATATATATATATATACATACATCTGTGCAAGCTGGGGAGACTCCCGAGAGCCAGACTTGTTTTGCATCCGCAACTCTGTGTGATGACTCGTCCCGGAGCTCCGTGCAACATTGACTGACTGGGCGAGGTACCTCGACCAAGGAAAACGCGTCCCGAGACAATCACAGTCCACTGGACACTGCTCGAGCTGAAAATGGGATGGGAGCGCAGCGTGGGTGGGGGCCTTGAGCAAAAGTGACAGCGGCCCTCTCCCGCTCTCCACCACGCAACGAAGAATCTATGGCACGCCATTGCAATCTGTGCAAGCTGGGGAGACTCCCGAGGGCCAGACTTGTTTTGCATCCGCAACTCTGTGTGATGACTCGTCCCGGAGCTCCGTGCAACATTGACTGACTGGGCGAGGTACCTCGACCAAGGAAAACGCGCCCCGAGACAATCACAGTCCGAAACCTAGAAACTCGAGCAACTGCGAATTTTGAAATCCTGGCCTTAGGCCTACACAAACCTGTCCAGGCTCAGAAACGTCTGGTTTCGCAAAGCCTGTTGAAAACACTTAGCTACCAGCCTGCATCAATCTTTGGGATACGGTTCTGCAATGTGTGTCCAGAAAGTGCCTGAGGCATCTTTGCCTTCGAGGACCTGATGGGGGGCGGCGGCTAAAACTGCAGACCCCACGACCTGAGCATTTACAAGGGATGAGCGGGTCGAGATTGAGATGGCAATACAGCAGCCGAGTGCGTTTGCGCCAAGGGGTCGAGAACGCACAGAAATCAAAGTCCACCATGCGAGTGTTACGAATTCGAATGAGACTGAGCGCACCTGGAAGCTGCCACAACCAAGACGAGCTAGGATTCTCAATCACAACTGGTACGTTCAAACTGCGGGCGAGCAAAAAGAGAGAGAAGCTGAAAGTGGCAAGCGCGTTTCCTCTCTCGACCTTGAGCTGATCTCCTGGCGACAGGCCTGGCGGCCCTAGCGGGAAAAGTCTCGCCCGCAAGGGCGGTGGCCCGTTGGGGCGGTTGCGGGCGCGGCTCATGGAATGACAGGGCGTCGCAATCCAGATCGCGACGATGAGCCGACTCCGCGCCCAGCCGCGAACCTGCTGCCTGATCCGCCTGAGGAGGAGATCACCGTCGGCGTCATGGCGGATGTCCAGTTCGAAGGCGGCATGCTGCGAACGGAACCGCAAGCGCCACGCCGCTGACATCCGCCCAGAGCCGCTGAATACCTCCAAGAAGACGCCCGCCTTGGAGCGCCTCACCCACGATGCCAGCTCGCCGACAGGGTGGCGCCAATCCCGCGGAACGCCTGCTCGGCACGGAGCAGCAGGGCGCGCGGCAGCCGGTGAAGCTGCTCCTGCACCCGACCGCCCTTGGCGCAGCGCCGGAGAGCGGCGTCGGTCGCCCACCTGCCGCGCTTCTGGATGTCGCGCAGAGGCCGCGCCGCCGCGTACAGCTCGTGGCTCGCGCCGCCGTGCCGCAGCTGGTGCAGCGTCAAGTTGCTCAAGACCTGCAGGTCGAGCTCGGCACCCACGGCCTTGAACAGGTAGTTCCACTGCGCGTAGGTCACGGGAAACAGGCGGTGGCCAGCGGGCGTGCGGCGGTGCAGCTCCTGCACGCGGCTTGGCATCCACGGGGACCAGCTTGAGTCCGCCAGCAGGCCCTCGTCGAACACGCCTGTCTTGGACGGGGTCTGCCTCTCGAACAGGTGGAGGACCACGCGCCAGTGGTGCATCGCCGTGGCCGTGGTAAACCCTGGCGGGATGAGCTGCGACTGCGCGAGATCGAGCGCCTCGCGCGGCCTCAGGTAGAGGCCGAACGTGAGCGCGGTGAGCCACGCGTACACCACCAGGCCCCTGCGGCACAGGGTCTCCACGATTAGGCGCACCACAGGCCACGGGAGCGGCAGCCGCGATCGAGGCGGCGCCAGGCGAGACCAGCCCTTGGCTGCCCGCGCCGCCCGCGGCAGGCGCCCCTGGCGCGGCCCGAGGTCCGAGCGCGCGAAGGCGAGAGCCGCCATCAGCTTCCACGCGTCGCTGCTCTCGCCCCCGTCCAGGAACTCCTCGTGGAAGAACAGCGCCAGCGCCTTGTCCACCTCTGCCGGCGTCGCCAGCGAATGCCCCCGCTGGCAGGCCCACAGGCTGAAGGCGGCCTGTCGACGCTGGTAGTCTGCCCTGGTCGCGCCCCCCACCGACTGCTCCTCCAGGAAGGTCAAGCCCTGGCGGGGGGCCGAAGCCGGGAGGGAAGGGAAGCGGCTCGCCCTCTCCTGCCGACGGACTGCCCGGCGGTCGCTCTCGGCCGGGCGCGCTGAAGCCCCCGGCGCCGCACGCGGCCTGCGCTGCAACTGGTGAGTACCCGCAGCACCCAGGGCCGCTGCCGGCCTCTCGCGAGCCCGCGTCGCCGGCACAGCAGGGGCCGCCATGAAGCCGAGGGCCGACATCGACAGTGGCGCCGCCATCCTCCCCGAGGCCCACTGCCTGGGCGGGCGGGCAGGACGCGTCAAGCCTCGACGTCTTGGCCCGCGCGGCTTCGGGGATGTCACCAGTCTGGTCACGAGAAGCTGGATCTGCGCTGTTATGTTCTGATGGGACCCGACGCCAGATAGCTGAGGACCCCGAAGCCAACAGAAGAGCACATGCTTGACGACAGATTCTCAGAAGCGGAGGCGACGATGATCTGCCCTTGAGAAGGGCCAACACTGGGGCCATGGAGTCATTCAAGATGATGTGCGTGGTGTTGAAGTTTCGAGCGGCTCGCAATCGATGTTTCAGGCACAAGACTAACGCTCTCCCCTCCAGTACCACCTGAACCTCCCTCCTGGTCCATGGTGTAGATAGAACGCAATGCCATCCTCCCGCCCAGACCTCCTCCGGCACCTCCTCGAACGTGACCTCCTCCTCCTGATTCGGCTTCGGCTCGACTCGGAACGGGACCTGCTGCTCCATAACTGCTGCTATGACTGCTGGATCGCGACTGGGTTCCGACGAGGCTTGCTTGATGCATGACGAGGTGATACGGTCAGCTTTCTTGCGCTCCAGGGCTAGGGCCTTGTCCCGAGGGGCGACCTGTTGCTCGCCATCACGACTGAACCTCCATCGCTCGTTGAACATAGACAGACGACGGGCTTGATCCGAGGTGATGGTCTTCTCTGTCACTCCTGTGCCCCACCACGAGGCGTCCGCGCAAGACACGACAGGCGACAGAGGCCGCCCGGCGTCTCGGAAGCACAGGGGCAGCAGCGCGCGGCACCAGGTCAGCCCCCGCCTCACTGCCGGAGTCAGCCGCCGCCTCTCGCGGCCGCCGTCGCCCATGAAGCCGTGCACGGCCCCTAGGCAGCTCAGCAGCTCTCGGCGAATTAACGCCCTCGACGCGAAGTGCGATATCACCTTCATCATGGTGCGACCGCTGCACCAGCCACGTTCCAGCAGCTCGCCAATGCCAAGGCGAAGCCGCCAGCGCAGCCGAACGCTGAGACCGATCACGGGCTTGTCCTCGAAGTGCCAGCCCAGCGTGTCGCCACCGACTGATGCTTCCGCGGGGTGCGAGGGAAGGTCTGAAGCCGTTAGCTCCCTCTGCACCGCAGTAGCCGCATCACGCACCTCGCGCAGCCTGTGGGACAGGGCGATGAAGTTGTCGACGTAGACCGCATGCGCCATCCCTTGCTGCAGGTCAGGCGCGGGCCGACGGTCCACAAGTCGACGGTCAAAATGGCCAAGAAGAGCACGAGCGGTCACCGCCTCGTTCAGGCTCTGACATATCCATAGGCTGATGCTCCAGCCCATCGGCGGGCACCGGAAACACGGTACCACCCAGGCCGATGGTCGCACGGGCGTACCGTCGGACAAGTGCGTTAGCCCGAGGTCGCCAGCCCTCAACTTGGGCAGCCCAAAGTAGCGGCGCAGCCACTGCGGAAGCTCGATCTGGTAAAACGCGTCGCAGATGTCGACGCCCCCGATGCTGATGGGCTCGTCGCCGTCGACCGAGATCTGAGCGAAAGCCGAGCCCGTCGCCAACTCCACGGGGTCCGCGGGCGCAAACCTGAGCGATGCGTGCCTCCCGTCGAGGATCATCCGCAGCGACCTGTTCTTCTTGCGCACGAAGAACATGCCAACGTAACGCTCCGCCGAGCTGCTGAAGTCCACCAGCCCAGCGTTCATTAGCCGCCGCACCACCATCGCGTAGAGGCGCGGGTTGCGAGGGGCAGGCTCCGTGTAGAGTCGTCTCGGACCTGCCTCCTTGATGCGCTCCATCCCCAGCTGTCGGGGCAGGAGTAACTCTTTCAGCCGGTGAGCGATGTTCTGGCCTGCCATCTCGTCGATAGTCTCCAGGGCGGCGGGTTGGCTGCCAGCAGGAGGCAATGAGATGGAGTCGACGAGGTCGAAGCTCACCGGGGCAACCAACGTGGCGTCACCCTCGTATGATTGAGATATCCGGAGCTCCTCGAGGGCTCCTGGACCGTCCAAGCCCTCTGGGCACGGGCCAAACCTCGCAGCGGCCTGGCGGAGCTCCGAGAGGACGAGGGCGTGGCCAGCGGCTGGCACCGGCGCGCCTGCGGGCGCTTGACGGCGAGCCGCAGGCGGGCAGCCCCACAGTTCGTTCAGCGCGACGGTCATCTCCTCGACCATGCCGTGAACGTGCGACCGCTTCTCAAGGCGCCTGCGCACTGACCTCGAAGGCGGGGAAGACGTAGTAGGAGAAGAAGCTCCAGCGCCAAAGTAAGGTAAAGGAAAGAGATCACGTTGGCGAAGGTCGGCGCTGGAGTGGGAAGCCTCATGTACAGGTAGATCTGCTGCACCCGCGAGGCCCACGGGCGCCCCCTCTCTCGGCCTGGCTGACTCTCGGGCGAGGGGTACCCGAGAGCCGTCCGCATCGCTCATGATGACAGAGCGCGACGCTCTTCTCGGGTTTTCCTGATCTGGTTCAGGATGCCTGCGTCGCGCTCCACCTGTTTGGAGACATGCTCCAGCAGCAGCGGGCATACCATGGAACGGCCATCCTCCTTGGCCGCCCCTGTGAGCACCGCCGCCTCGTCCACGATGCCGAATCGGTGGAGCCCTCCTCCCCGACCTCGGCCCCTCTTCTTGCCGTCGCCCTCGTTGCCGTCCTTGGAGCCCTTCGACTGCTGCGCCTCGAACTCCATGGAGTAGATGTACTCGTACAGCTGTGCCTCACGAATGGCCAGCTCCGCCCCGACCAAGTCGGGAACATTCAACTGATCCCAGCACCCGAGATGCTCGATCATCTTCATTATGTTCTCATACTGAGCGACCCCGTAATCCTCCTTCGTGAAATGATAGAAGGCAACGAAGCTGTTGTAGTGCTCCACGGGGCCGCTCCGCTTCCTGTCGATGAACTGCGCGCACCAGAGCATGGTCCGAGGTCCGTCGAGCAGCCACCCCGGGATGAGATTCTCTACCATCATCGGCACAGCCTCATGCCAAGCCAGTCGCTGCCTGGAGCCGTCGGGTCGAGGTAATACGCCCAGCAGCCTGATGTCCGCCCCGCTCTCCGCGCATCGGTACACCGATGGGTCCATCGAGATCCGACGGATGGCAACCCAGCCTGCGTTCAGCTTCAGGAGGCCGATGTCACCTTCGATCCGCTCGGTCCCGTTGAGCTGGACAACATCGCCACGACTGCCACCACCCGTGCTCTCGATGAGCACCCACACTGGGGCCAGCACAGCGGGCGGCCCAACCACCCCTGCCGCGGCCGGCGGCGCTGCGCCGGCGGCGCCCGCTGGGGCGCCTGCGGCCGGCACGGCGGCGGCCGCCAGGGGACCTGCAGCAGGGGCGGCGACGGCGCCGGCCCCGGCCACGCTCACCAGAGGCGCGGCAGGCGCTGCTCCGGCGGCGGCTCCGGCCGCGGGCGCGTGAGCGGCGGGGCCTGCGCCAGGAACGCCTGGTCCAGGGGCGGCTGCGGTGAAGTCGAACTCCAGGTATGAGCCACCAGCGGGAAGCGCGCGCGGCCTGCCAGCAGCGCGCTCGCGGTCCAAGTACAGCTGGTCGGTTACCTGCACGAGAGCGTCCTGGATAGCGACCGTCTCCCTCGCGTTCGGCTCACGCCTGAACCTGTACAGCAGATCCGGGTCCACACCCTGCAGCGCCTGGTGCGTCGGGCTGAAGACCACTGCGACTATGTCTGGGTTCCCCTGACCGCACCGCTCCTCGTACACGTCGTGGTCGGCGCTCGAGATCAGGCACGACACCGACGGGCACGCCGGCGAAGAAGGACAAGTAGGCGCCGCAGGACACGGCGGCGCTCGCGATATCCAGGCCGCCAGCAGGTTGGTAGCTGCGCCCAGGAGCCACACGAAGGGTCTGCCAACCATCCGCGTTTCAGCCTGGACAGGTGCCCCCAGCTCGCTGGAAGAAAGGCTTGAGCAAAAGTGACAGCGGCCCTCTCCCGCTCTCCACCATGCAACAAAAAATCTATGGCACGCCATTGCAATACATACACCTCACTATGTCTATATATACATACATCTACATACATGTACATATATGAACTGCCGTGGGCATCTACCTCGACCGAGAAGAATAGGAAGAGGACGAGGAGAACGAGGAAGAGGAGGAGGAAGAGGAAAAGAAAGAAAGAAAGCTGATTTCGTCGTCGCCGCCAATGTCTTACGGATTTCGTCGCCTTTCGGAAAACCCGAGGCATCTCGTCGAATTCAGCCTGCAAAAACCGTTTTCGGCGCCGGGGACGGCCGCCGAAAGTCCGGGATAATGGTCGACCTCCCTGGCCGGTGCCACCCCTTCGCAAAGGGAGGAACACGGGGTGGATCGAGGCTCGAGGCATGAGACTCCTAGTTCTTGGGCGCTCTCCGCCCCCTCTGGTTCTTCAGGAAGCTCCTCGTCGACACAGCCGGGTCCACTCGCGAACTTCTGGCCAGACGCAACCCCAACTGGGTCTCAACGGTCCCCGAGCCGATCCAGGAGGTGGAAAGGGAGGCCTGGGACAGGCCCCGCGAAGGCCTCAAGAAACCCATATAAGACCACAAACAAACTCAAAACAATCCCCTACAAGGCCCCACCTTAAGCCCCACACGCTACGTAGGACAGGCCGAAACCCCAAGATTGCCCAGCGATCGCGCGCGTTCCGCGAATTCTGTTTTTCATTCTTGCTGCCGCCCCAAGGGGTCGGCGGTGCTGCGTAAGCCAATGAAGAAACAGGGTACTCTGTCAATCTCAATATCCGTGTCCATTCTTTCCGTACCCATGTCGATCGCCCCGAATCTTCGCGCCCTCGGAAGAATTGCTGGGGCCCTCCTGGGCCAGGTGCATTTTGGGCCTATCCTGATGAGCCCTTTGGGGGCCCGCTGTGGCGCCGCCTTGGCAGTTTTCTTGGGGCCCTCTCGGGAGCGTCTTGGGCTGCCTTGGGGCGATCTCGGGGGCCTCTTGGGCCAGTCTTGACAGTTCCTGGGCCGCTCGGGCCATCTTGCAACGCGCCGCTCGGGCAGTCTCGAGGCATCCCCGGGCGCCCAGTACGGCGCACCCGGCATGGGCACCATTGGCACGCACGCCGAACGGTATTGTAGTATAGACGACGTCGGGATCCAGCTTCGCCTCCCTCATCTCGCCTAGCAGCGCCAAAGCCCGATGCCACTGCTCACCCTTCTTGCACGCACTGAGTGAGGTGTTGTAGCTGACTAGGGCAGACCTGTGGACTCCGTCCACGACATCAGCTCGACGTGGCGAGGGGTCTCTGGGCAAGCGCGGGGGGGTGCGGCTGCAGGGCCGAAAGGCAATCATGATGGCGTCGGGCTCCTCCTCCTCCTCCTCCTCCTCCTCCTCCTCCTCCTTTTCCACCTTCTTCTCCTCTTTCGCTGGATTCTCCATGCCCTCGGTCGGCAATCGTCGATCCTACGACGACTCTCCCCAACAGAGAAACATCGAAGGCCCTCGGAGCGTCCAACATTGTTCTTTTGTGCCTTCGATATGCCGGTCGCCTCTCGTCCGCTCCCCCGCTCCTGGAAGGAATTCTGAAGGCACTGAAGGCTTCGTAGGGGCCGTTTCGGAGCCTCTTCGGCCTTCGTTTGGGCCTCGCGGGGGGGCTCTTAGGGCTCTCTCGGGCCGTCTTGGGTGCCTCTTGGGCCGTCTTCGGGCCATCTGAGGCCCTCCTTGGCGCCTCTTCGGCTGTCGTGGGCCGTCTTGGGCCGCTCCTGGGGCCGTCTTGGGTGCCTCTTGGGCCGTCTTGGGCGCCTCCTGGGCCGTCCGGACGCCGTCCTGCGGCGTCTTGGGACCGTCTTGGGGCCCTCCTGGCCCGTCTTGGGGCTCTCTTGGGGTCCTCTTCGGCCGTCTTGGAGCGGTCGGGGGGGCGTCTTGGGCCGTCTTGGAGCGTCGGGAAGGCGACGAGGCGAGGAGGCCGAAAACATTGACAAACACAATAGAAATCGACGATTTCTGTCGCTCGGGGCCCTCTTGGGAGGCCTCTTGGGAGGCCTCTTCGGGCGTCTTGGACGCCTCGAGGGCCTCCTGGGGCGAATCTCGGACGTCTTGGGCGCTCTTGGGCTGTCTTGGGCCGTCTTGGGCCGCTCCTGGGGCCGTCTTGGGTGCCTCTTGGGCCGTCTTGGGCGCCTCCTGGGCCGTCCTGGGGCCGTCCTGCGGCGTCTTGGGACCGTCTGGGGGCCCTCCTGGCCCGTCTTGGGGCTCTCTTGGTATCCTCTTCGGCCGTCTTGGAGCGGTCGGGGGGGCGTCTTGGGCCGTCTTGGAGCGTCGGAAAGCCGACGAGGCGAGGAGGCCAAAAACATTGAAAAACACAATAGAAATCGACGATTTCTGTCGCTCGGGGCCCTCTTGGGAGGCCTCTTGGGAGGCCTCTTCGGGCGTCTTGGACGCCTCGAGGGCCTCCTGGGGCGAATCTCGGGCGTCTTGGGCGCTCTTGGGCTGTCTTGGGCCGTCTTGGGCCGCTCCTGGGGCCGTCTTGGGTGCCTCTTGGGCCGTCTTGGGCGCCTCCTGGGCCGTCCTGGGGCCGTCCTGCGGCGTCTTGGGACCGTCTGGGGGCCCTCCTGGCCCGTCTTGGGGCTCTCTTGGGGTCCTCTTCGGCCGTCTTGGAGCGGTCGGGGGGACTTCTTGGGCCGTCTTGGAGCGTCGGGAAGCCGAAGAGGCGAGGAGGCCGAAAACACCGAAAAACACAATAGAAATCGACGATTTCTGTCGCTCGGGGCCCTCTTGGGAGGCCTCTTGGGAGGCCTCTTCGGGCGTCTTGGACGCCTCGAGGGCCGCCTGGGGCGACTCTCGGACGTCTTGGGCGCATCTTTAAGCGTGCCGGGGCTCTCCGGGGCCGTCTTGGGGGATTTTTGGGACCCTCTGGACGTGTCTTGGGGCCTCCCTGGGCGGCCCGGAGCCAGCCCGGGGCGGTTTTGGTTCATTGGAGCCTGCACCATTCTGGCACGCACTGGGCCCTGCAATGTAGTAGAGACTAGTGCTGACCCGTAGCATGCTGGTCTCGAAGTTTATCCGAGATGGCACGTTGGATCGGGGCGCAGCTGCTGCGGGAGCGCTTCCATGATGACGCTGGGCCCGAGCTTCGGCTCTGCTGTTGCTGCCTGCGGCTGCAGGATGCTGCTGCCTGCTCCATGCTGCTGCTGCTTGATGCTTCTGTGCTGCCGCTGGTGGTGCTTGAGGCGGGCTGCGTGCTGCTGCTGTTCGCTACTTCTGCTTCTTAGCCTGCAGGGTGTTGCTTCTCTTTGCTCCTGCCAGTTGGCTGACGCAACCTGAGGCTCGCGAGGGGATCGAGAAGGGAGGAGCGAAGAGCAAAGAGCGAGGAGTCAGGTTCGAGGATGGAGGTGGGAGAAACGAGGGCTCAGCGAGGAGCAAGGAGAAATGCGAGGGGCGAGGAGCGTTGTGGACCCTCTTTGGAGTGTGGTAAACTCAACTGGGCCCTCGTGCAGGGCACTGGATCTTGCGAGCCGCTTGGGGCGTCCTTGGAGCATCCTGGCCCGGTGTCGGGGGCAAGGGAGCTAGTACACCGCTTTCATATCTGGCACGCGATTCGCTCAGAGTTGGTACAAATGACCATCGGCTCCGACATCGCATCCAACAACTCGCTGAGCCGCTGTCGACATTGGGCTCCAACTTCGCAATCGATATCTCGCTGAACAGCAGCATGACCCGCTTTCACTGCACGCCTCTCTCTCTCTCTCTCACACAAATGCTGATCCCACCGCTGTAGCCAACCAGGGCGGATCCATGTAATGTTATCCGGAGCAGCGCTTTGTGCGCGATAGAAGCCACTGTCAAATTCACAATACGGATGTCCGTCCACGAAATCACAGTGGTTGCCCAGCAAGTTCTCACACGCACAGTGCTTTGCAAGACACGCAAAAACGCGAAAGCCCAATCCCAAGATAGCCTGGAAATCCTGCCGAGTTGCGAGACGACCTCTCATAAGCTGTGGTGCACACGTTGTAACTGATGTCGCTCGTCTTCACATTGCACTCCCGCATCTCGCTGAGCAGCGACAACGCATGCCGCCATTGGCCGCATCTCTCACACGCGCAGGTCGCAGCGCTGTAGCTGACTACGGTAGAGCCGTGGACTTACGTCCACGACAGCTGATTCGCACGCAGGGGTGGAAATCGCGTGCCTGCTGTCATGCTTGCACGCTGCCATGCTCGCAAGGCTGCTAGCTTGCTGCCCCAGTAACTCCATACCAGGTGTTTCTGTCTGCGTGCTGGCCAATGTTTCTGATTCCATTCCTATCAGCTTGCCTGCCTGCTTGCTTGGTTGCGTTGTCGCTCGCTCTTCTGCTCGGTGGTAACCAAGATCACGTAGGAGGTCGGCCACCGCCTCGGCAGGGGTAGAGCGCGGGCGGGACACAGAAGAGGTCATAATACTTAGGCAACCGCTTCGGCGGGTGGTCGGATAACGGCGTGGGATGCGGGGAGCGGGAAACTCGAGTGCGAGCATGCCGAGCATGCGAGCATGCTTGGTGTGCGTTCACTACGGGTGCGTGGATGTGTACTCGAGTCTCGGTGAATGCTGTGGAGATGTCGGCGCGTTTGCTTGCGGTGCGACGTGGCATGCAGCTTGCGATCCTGTGCGTCGGGTTTGGTGTTTCGGGCGTTGCGGTAGGGTTGCTTGGTTCTGAAGGGCACAGGACGAGGAGCTGCGGCGTAAGCCAAGCTTAGACCTGTGCTCGCCGTTTACTCGATGTTGCCAGGGGTGGCTCGTCGCAAGAGGCGTCCGACGGCTTCTGGGGAGCAGGCTCGCACAACGGATATAGAAGGATATGTTCTGCGAGGCATGTGCGCGGGTGATGAGGGGCATGTTTTCAACTACGTCCGGTGCTACGTGGCGGGTGCGAGGTGCGCGGTGCCCTGCTTTGTGCTGGCGCCGCGGAGGGAGAGAGAGAGAGAGAGAGGGAGAGAAAACAAAACAAATAAGAAAAAAAAACAGAAAGAAGAGAGAGGCGTGGGGCCAGGAGAGAGGTGGGAGGAGCAAGGCACAGCGAGAAGCGAGGAGCCAGGAGCGAGGAGCGAGGAGAGAGGCAGTAGCGCGAGGCGAGGGCGGCGAGGAGCGAGGGAGCGAGCTGGGGGAGGCAGGAGGAGAGGCTGGCGCACGGCTGTCTCAGCGGCCTCGGCGCGCGTGCGGCCGAACGTCTGGCCTCCTCTGGGGCCGCTCGCGGGGCTCTTTCCTGGGCGGCCGGCGCGGTCCCCGAGCCCTCGAGAGGACCTCCCCTCGGAAGCCTCTTGGAGGCGGTGCTGGCGCCGCCTCGAGGCCTCGAGGGGGGCCTCTCGGGGCCTGCTTCGAGCCTCGGGGGCCTCCTGGGGCTTCTGGGGGTCCTCTCGGGGGCCCGCCGGCGGCCTGCTCGGGGCGGAGGGTGCGAAGTGTCAGTTCGAAGCCCCCCCTCTTGGGGCGCTCTCGGGTTCTTCTCGGAGCTGTCATCGGGCCGGTGGGGGCCTCCTCGGCCGTCTTGCGGCCGTCTTGGGCTGTCCCGGGGCCCTCTTGGGGGCCTGCTGGGCCGTCTGCCTTGAGGCGATGCGGGGGGAACCTCGGGCCGTCGTGGAGCGTCGTGGGCCCGAGAAGGCGCGAGAACGGGGGGGGCCTTGTGGAGGCCCTTCTTGGGCGGTCCTGGAACGCCCATGCCCTCTCTGTTTGGCCCTGGCCTGCCAGAGCGCCAGACACGCCCTGTTCGACGCAGGCCCTGCTGGCACGCGGGAGGCGCTGCATTGCAGAAGAGACCAGCGTGGCCCCGTGGGAAATGCACGGCTGGCAGATTGAGGTGTCAGTGCCGAAGGCGCACGTGGCGCTGATCGCAGGCGGCACGTGCGCGTTCGGGGCCGACAGGCTCTCGGGTTTGTTGCAGGCTCTGGGCTCTGGGGCTGGAGGCTGCCTGCGAGTGTCTTGGGAGGGTATGGGGTACCTCGGAGTGGTCCTCCGAGGGGTCTCGTGGCATCGACGGCTGCGGGAAGTCCGCAGTCCAGTCTCGCTGCAGCCTCCCGCAGGGCCCTCTTGGGCCGCCTTGGTGCGCTCGTCGGGGCCTATCGGGCAAATCTAAAGCGATCGCAGAAGTGCCTGAAGCCCTGTGGGGCCGCTCTGGGCCTGTCACTGGGAGAATGTGCGGAAACATTCGGAAACATTATGTATTTGCTGGATTTTTGGCCTCGTGGGACCGTCACTGGGGTTCTCGTGGGCCTCCTGGGACCGTCCCGAGATCTCTTGGGCGATCTTGGGGCTAGGGTGGGGGTCTGGGGCCCTCTGAGAGCCAATTGTCAGCCCTCCTGGGCAGCTCCTGGGGCGTCTTGGGGAACAACTTGAAGCTCTGTTAGGCTCTCCGGGGCCTGTTCTGGGGCCGTCTTGGGGCTCTCACCGGCCGTCTTGGTGGGCTCGTGGGGGCCTCTTGGGCCATCTCGGTGAGATCTCAGAAAGACCTGGCGCCGTGTGGTGCCGCTCTGGGCCCGTCATGGGGAGGACGTGGAAAGCCGTGAAAAATGTAAGGTTTGGGCTTGTTGTTTCGCCTCGTAAAGTCGTCATCGGGGTCCTCCTGAGCCGTCTTGGGCCGTCCCAGCGGTCTCTTGGGCCATCCTGGGGCCAAGTAAAGGGTCTCGGGCCGTCTTGGAGCTCGCTTTGGCGCCTGTTGGGCAGCTCCTACGTATGCCTCTCTTGGGGCTGTCTTGTGGGCCACCAGGAACTCTATGAGGCTGTCTTGGGCTTCTCCTTGGCAGTCTTCGGGCCCTGAGGCAGTCTTAGGGCACTTGGCGGTACCTTCTGGACCGTCTGGGTGCTATCTGGGATGGCCTTGGAATCGTCTGGGGCCGTTCTTGGCCCGAAAAGGCGAGAACGTGCGAAAACGTTCGACAATCAATGGGAGCTAGATGGTTTTAGCCTCGGGGAACGGTCATCGGGATCCGCCTGGGCCTCTCCTGGGACGTCCTTGCGCCCTCCGGAGCGTCTTGGAGCCATATCCGGGCTGTCTGGGGCCGTGTTAGAGCCACTTGAAGGCTTTAGGGAGCCGTCGAAGAGCGGCGGGGACTCCGTCCACGACATCTTTCTGGAATGGTTCTCGGAGGAACGGCGCAGATTGTACCGAAAATCTACAAACACGGCGGCGGCTCGGGCGGCGGCAGCGAGACCGCGCCTTCGTGTCCGAGCTCTTGCAGCGCTCCAGCAGCTTGGCCCAGCGCACTGCTCGTTCACCCCCCTCCTATTGAGGACAGTTTCGAAGTCTCTCGGGGATGTGCGTCGAAGTCGAAGCCCATCTGAGGCGTCTGAGCGCTCGGGGAAGGGCTCGGGGAAAGCCACCGAAAGCGCCGGGGAGGCTCGCAAGGATCTACAGGGAGGGCCCAAGAGAGCTTCAAGAAAATTTAAAATCCAGTGAACTCTTAAGAGAAACCGCTGTTGGGTCGGCCATCACCTCCAGGCGCGCCTTGATGGTGCGATCCAGTCGCATCACCGCCAACGGGAGGGTTTGTTCGCCATGTCCCATTCTGTTCGCCCAGAGGGTCAGTGGAGGCCTTCGGGCGAACAGAACGGGACAGGGCAAGGAATGGGGAAGACATGTCCGAATCTCCTGGGCCCCCCAGATGCTCGTCCGAAGAATGCGGAGAGGTCCCAGGGTCATATCAATTGGCTGCTGTCCCAGGGGTCCGGTCTGCTTGGCCCGAAGAGTTTGCCAAGGCCCCTGGGGGAACAGAATGGCACAGCATATCGGGCAAAGGGGGGCGGTAGCTGGCCTGTCAGACCCGGCGTTCGTCTTCTGCCCAAGCGGCGCGGGGCCCACGGGCCCCAGGGTTGGCGTCCCGCTGGGATTCCTCTTGTTCGCCCACAGGGTTGGAGGAGGCCTCCAGGCGAACAGAATGGGGCAGGACAATGAATGTGGGAGACTTGTCGCAAGCTCCCAGCCCCCCCAAGTGTGCGCCCGAAGGGTGTGGGGCCGCGTTGGCTCCCTCAAAGGGCCGTCTTGGAGCCGTCTAGGCCCGTCTTGAGGGCGCCGTTTGCCCTGATGGGGCCGTCTTGGTTCGTCGTGGGCCCCTCATGGGCGCGTCCGTAGGCCGTCCTGGGCCCATCGGGGTCCTCGTGGGGCTGTCTTGGAGCCGTCTGGGACCGTGAGGAGGCCGCCTTGGAGTCGTCTTGGGCCCCTCCTGTGCGCCTCCTTGGGCCGTCCTGGGCCCAGCAGGGGCCGTGTTGGCACCCTCTTGGGGCTGTCTTGGAGCCGTCTTGAGCCGTCGCAGCGCGCCTTGGGTTGTGCTGGGTCCGTCTTGGCCCGTCTTGGGGCCTTCCTGGGCGGTTCCTCGGACCCTCCTGGGACTTTCTGGGGCCTCTTGGTGCATCGGACCGCCGAAACGGCGGGAAACGCAAAGGGTGTAACAGTAAACAATGGAAAATTAACGATTTTTGCCATCTTGAGGCCCCGAACGGGCGCGTCCTTGGGCCGTCCTGGGCGCACCCTCCTGGGACCGTCTTGGAATCGTCGTGGGCCGTCTTGAGCGCGCCTTGGGCCGTCCTGGGCCGGTCTGGGGCCGTGTTGGCACCCTCGCGGCGAAGAAGCTCGGAGGCGGGCTCGAGGCCTCTTCGGGGCCATTTGGAAGCTGTTGGGGCCTCTGTAGGGGCCTCGTTTGGGCTCCTTGGGAGCCTCCTGGGGCCTCTTCGGGGGATTCTTGGCGGCCCCTTGGGGCCTCTTGGGGGCCTGTTTGGGCCTCCTGGCGCCCTCTTGGGGCGGAAGGCTCGGATTTTCGGTCCGTGGTCCCCCTCTTGGCCCCCTCTTGGGCCTGTCTTCGGGCCCTCGTGGGCCGTCTTGAGCGTCTCTTGGGTCGTCTTGGGGCCCTCTTGGGCTGTCTTGGGGCGCTCTTGGAAGCCTCTTGGGCCGTTCTGGGGCGCTCTTGGAGGCCTCTTGGGCCGTCTTCGAGCGTCGGAAAGCGGAAAAGGCGAGAAGGCCAAAATCCTTCC